ATATCCTATATGCATTCCTCTTCTCACCAATTCGCGCTACATATCCTACCCATCTCATTTTCCTTGACCATTCTAATTATGCTTGGAGAAGAGTACAAGTTATGAAACTCCTCATTATGCAGTTTTCTGCAACCTCCTGTCACTTCATCTGTCTTCAGTCCAAATATTCTCAACACCCTGTTCTCAAACACCCTCAGTCTACGTTCCTCCCTCAATGCCAGAGGCCACTTTTTCTATTGTTAAAATACTTAACAATATTCATACGCGGATTGGATTCTCAAATATACTGTCACGTGTCCGGGTTCCGTGATTGATGATAACGGGTTATGGATTAGATGACTGGATTTATTGACACTTCTTTACAGTTAGAATCAATTAGAACAGTTCACAATCCATGCGTGCCTGAGACTCGCTCCATTCCTTACTGGACTACGAGTGTCCTCTCTTCTGCTGTGCCTGACTTGGTTCTGATTTACGAATCATTCCCTTAGGGCCCGTTTCCACGGGGCGTGACACGCTAGCGTGAGGCAGGTATTCGTGAGTACGACCCATGTGAACGAAGCGTCGTGGAAATTCTTATGACGTCACAGGCAAAAGTGAGGGCTCACGCTTCGTATCAGACATGTTTGATTTTCAGTCGTGAATTTGCCTCTACCATGTCTACACCCGATCGGGTCATAAAATTACTAGAAAGGGAAACGCGTTCCAGAAGGAAATCAAATTGGTCTTCAGACACTCGTAGTAAGTTCTTGAAATCATATGGGTAACTATTTCTGAGTTCCATATCAACCAAAATATGTGGCCCTAAGTTCCTCTTTAGAATCCATTTCCTAACCCACCATCGCCTTTTCTTCCGTTTTCCTTTCATTTCCACCATCTGATTCATTCTCTGCGCTAAAATAGCAGCAAAAACTGAACTCACAACAGCACAACTTTCTATGAGGAGGTCGTTCATGGTCGGCTTTCCGCGATCAACTGAATCACGTCTTCGTGGACACTTCAGCCAGTGTGAACTACTCACGACCCACGACTGGTGGGTTCACGCCTGCAAATTCACGAAAGCAAGTACGAAAGCGTTGCACGCTTTCGTATCCACACCCCGTGGGAACGTAGCATTACGAATCACTAAGAACGGATGACGAACGAAGAATCACTTCCGAATTGACTCTCGAATCAATTGTGTCCCCATCTTAAAACTTCAATGCGACCTGAATATAGAGCACCATCTCTAACAGGCTCTCTTATATTGTGTTTAACCGTTGCTACGAAACATTCCTAGCGACTTGCTATTCTCATAGCGAGCCGTTTTCTGGCAATGGACTATTATGCGTCTTCCGATGCCGACGGAACGTATGTTAATTTCGTAGCGAGCCGTTGTCTAGCAATGGAATATTCCGGCTTACGTGCGTCGTGTCACAGTACTTACGCAGCGATTTAAATCCGTAAAGTTCCTTACGCTATGCATGATATAACCTCGTTCTTAAAGGGAAGGGATCTGAGTAATGAAGGGTAAATTTAGATGACGAAATATAGGCATGTAGGTAAACTCTGAAACACGAAAGAGTCTAACTATGAAGACAGGAAGCGGTGCGGGACTTAAGTATGCTTGGGGTGTAGACTTGTAGACTGAGAACGAGATGTGTAGATACGCTTCGCTTCGTACTGAGTTTATTAAAATAAAATCGTTTTTCAATATGGGATGAGGAAGACCAGTTTGGTATCAATAGAGGAAAGGCTGAGTGGGAGACTGTGTCTTTACAAAGTCTGCATCTCAGTGCCAGTTTATTGACAGTTTGGCGTAGTGGCTTGAGAGAACGTCATAAAAACTCAGCTGTCAATCAGAAGTTTTCCTTCAGTTCATTTTGAATACATGTACCTCATTGACTTTCAAATCCTTGTCTTGAACTTTTATACGTGCAACATGCAAAGCCTATTATTTTTCTCATGCACGTCTACAGAGTGACTGTTTTAATATTCGGGACTGGAAATTGAAATAAAATGTTCCGGCATTGCTTCCTGAATCGAAAAACAACACTCAGACGGCCCGGGGTTCGTCTCTTATGAATATGCCTGGCTTTCCGTCAAGTGTATATTTCACATATATAACATATTGAAAATTCTACCTTTTGCACTACACACAAGTCCTCTGTCAGTACAGGCTTTACAGAGCAGATCATGCCTAACTTACATATCGTACTGAATTATTCTCACTTCAGTTGCCCTCCTTATAACCCCTTTGCATGGACCGAGTATAAAAGTCCGTTTCCAACAGTACCTCTATTGTATGCGTACCCGTTGCTGCGGGAATCTATTTACTGAGCCGTTCCCTAACAGAGGCCATCTATTCTTGCTTTTTAAGAATTCTGCTGTGTAGTAAGTAACGTCTGTCTCACGGCCGTTGCCTAGAGACGAATGTTGTTTCAAAGCTTGTCGCTAACAGCAACAGCATATACGCCACAATATATTTACGGTGTTTGGAATCAGTCGGTCCTGAAAACGGTGCCTCATGCCGTATCGTTTTGCGTCAGCTACATTTTAGTGTTCCCAGCTATGACATCTGAGGCAGGTGCGGTGTAATTATCTATTAAGCACAGTACGAAATTACATCGAGAATTTAATTTAGATAATATTGACGCCCCGTCTGTGCCGTTTATTCGGCAGCTAAAAAAAGAAATTGATTGGTGTACTGTGATAGTAGCAGGCCGTAAAATGCATGACTTTGGTGACACACGTGCAGAATCCAGTTGGTTGTAATATACCAGGTTAGCATTTGTTTCAGTTACATGGCTCTAAACGGCATCAATTCGAGGAGTGCCACGCTCAGACTGTTTTTTTTAATTCGCTTAGTGGGGGGGGGGGCTGGAGTCCAACTGGGTCCACTCGGCACGGCGGCCACTGATTGGCCTATTGTAGACTGCTCCGGGTGATTATGATGTTGGAGAATTTGGTGGAATGAAGATTGGCAGGGAAACCGAAGTACTCGGAGAAATCCCGCCCCAGTGCCACTTTGTCCGCCACAAATCCCATTTGACTAGACCCGGGATCGAATCCGGTCCGCCGCGGTGGAAAGCCAGCGACTAACCGCTTGAGCTATGGCGCGGCCTAACGCTCAGGCTGTTACTCGCCGGTCTTCAAATGCGGCGACCCTGGTTTGTTCCCAGATGTGGCCATTTGCCATTTCTGTTCGACAAAATTGCACTTGGAGGGGTTTCTCCTGTCAGGTCCCAATTCCGCCAACTGCCTCACTTCAATTAGTCATTTTTCCGTCAATTATACATAGCCTCGATACTGAGGCAGTCGTTAAACAAAAAGAGCAAAATTGTTCCTGTGCTAAATGAATTAAGCACTAAGCCATGAAGACTTATGGGGTAGTGGAGGTATAGCTCCATTTTTGACCCCGCATTAGTTTGAGATGAGTGGTCAGTTTTACGCCCCGGCCGCTTTACTCCCGGAAAAAGAGCCTGTGGTACTCGTTGCTTTGGAGCCTGTATTGGCCCCAGAGCCGGTCTGGACACAAGAGAAGAAAAGAGAAAACTCTCTTACCTCTTCCGGGAATCGAACCAGGTGTTCAGTCATAGTCCGTCGATATGCCAATTCAAATAATCAACTTAAGATTTGAAAATAAGTTGTCGTGGCCTATTTTCCCACTGTGTGCCTGTCTACCAAAGAATACCACGAATAGCTCAGCCAGGAGGGCTGGTGTGATAGCCTAGATTCGAACCGATTACCTCCTGAATTAAAGATTATATCTTCACCACAGCACCAGCCTGGTTATACTGTACTCAAGGTTTAGGCGAAATGTTGTATGAGATCTGCGAGAGTTTATTTATTCTTTTTCGTCCTCTGAATAATAAAAAATGGGATTTCGGATTTGTAGCGTCTCCCATTTGTTTGAGCCCAAATAACATGACCGCGTCACTCTCTCCGCAGTGTCAGGAGTCAAGTCAGGTGCTGCCAAGTGACCTAGAGAATCTCTCTGAATTTATGTCACAAATTCAAATGTTGACATCGCCGTTCATGTTGCAATATTCACATTTTGGCTTATAATTTAATCTGTGCCAGAATGCAATTCTGTCTCGCGAATCTATTATAGGACAATGGCAAAAGTTAATTAAAACATAACAAAATCCTGCCGCTTCATAACTCAACCGAGACATACAAAATATAATATAAAATATAATACATTAAATTTGTCATGTAATTTATTTTATTTAACCTTGACGTTTATGTAAAATCAAGTATACAACAAATGTTCCTGTCCATAATGTATATATATTTACCGTCTTTTGGTGCATACAATTTCACTTGTCACTTCACACTACATGTTTCGACATCATTCTGCCATCCTCAGGTGTATCCATCACGTTAAATCATTGCACTGCCTGCCATCAAGTGTCTATTTATAAAATGATGTAAAATGTGTGTTCATCGTTGTTGAATAATAAAATTTATATATTAAAACTTGTTAAGATCTACCATCTTACATGTCGTATATCAAACTCATGTGTAACGCCATTCATCCGCTATGGGAGTCGTTCTTCTTATGTTTTAATTGTGTATATATTGTGTCTTATGGTGTGTCTTTCTTATGTGGCTGCGTGCGTTGTATTGCTCGACGTATGTGTGTGTGTATGTTCCTGTATTCATGGATTTGGAATATAGTATTTAAGCAGTAATTTAATAGCATTAAAATATATTGTAACATGATAGAGTGACTATAGACGGGGTTTCGATTGGTAATTGTATTTATTGAACACTTAATATTATAACTCCAAGTAACTATAACTAATCAACGGATTATATTGCGTTATATTCCAGAAGGCAGAACTAGTCAAAACCACCGCTGTGAGGACCTCAAAACCTAGAATTATATTTCAAGGTTATTCTGGGCTATGCAAAGTGAAGTATCATAAGTTTCATAGGAAAGCAATGCGTCTTTCTTCAGTGTAGAATTTATTTATTTGACAAATACAAGAAAAAAATATTTTGTCTTGTTACAGGTGCGAGGAACGAAAACTGATGAAAGGAGAAAATTGGATGGACACTGTTCCCTTCAGGAAAAGGAGCTAGAGTGAAGAGAGCACTTCAGAATGTGGTTTCAAGAACGCACCGTTGATACTGTGTGAGCGTTTACCTCGCGAAGTGTTTAATACGCCTCATTATGGTGAAGGCTGCGTGTAAATTTACGCCTGACTGGTTGATTATTGTTCAACTGTTAACAGCTGTGACTTTGACGCTTCTGGCATTCGACGCCGACATCGTTACATGCGAGTCGATTATACCACACGAATTTAGCGGAGTTGATAAACATCACCCTAATCACAATTCTGAATCACAAGTGTCTGTTTTAGTTGCCGCAACTCAAAGAGATGAAACAGGAGACAATTTATCAAGTTCTCCACACACACTGCATGCCGAGAGTGGCAGTTCATTTGTCTCACAGAACCAACAGCTTTTGCCAAATGTTGGCTGGGTAACCGCAGCTAGTAGGCAGAAGAATGTTCCCACAGAGGAATATTCCGATTTCAGAACAAGTAGACCGTACTTCTTCCACATGAAAGCAAAAATATCTCACACGGTTACTCACGAGTTAAAGAAATCCACTACATCAGAGCAGAAATCCATTAAAGAAGATATACCACTGGCTGAAACAACTTTTTTAGCCGAGAGAATAAGAGATTCTAGTGAAAGACATTCAAAATTCGAATCAGGTTCTCAGAAGCTGTCGGAGAAAGCGCTAACGCTGCCACCAGTTGATCGAGAACTAATTGAAGTGAACAGTTCCTTCCAAAACGAGAAACGACCATTCGACGATTCGGTGAATAACTCGTTTTCAAACAAGTCCATTGCTAACGCACAGGAAGTGTATGATTCAAGGTATACTTCAGAATTGTACGAAGAAAACTTCAATGCAATTCATGAAACCCTCCTTTCTTCCGACAAATTAATTAGAAATTTCACATGCAATATGAGTTCTTTTGTAGAAGACAGCAGCCATGATATAGAGGTAAATAAATCAGGGAAAACAACTTCAGACTTAAGAGACTTATTAAAACCATCACAAAATGAACCCATTAAAGTAATTAACATTACTCCCAACACGTACAATAGATGGAGTTCTCAGGAAGAACACAGTTCAGATTTAAATGTTAGCAGTGAAATGAATAATGAGAGCATTACGACTGCCAACACGAATGGCGTCGACATTAATGTTCCCATCCAGGGAAGTGTTAGAAGTCTGGCCTTATCTCATACAGAAGCTGACAGGAAACTGTTCCGAGTATCAGACTTAATCAATTCAAACGTTAGAGAAGGAGAAATATCCAACAGTTTGTTAGAAATTGAAAACTTACTGCATCTTGACAGAAATAGCAACGGCTCATCCACTAGAGAGATTTTCAGTGCAGCGCAAACAACGGCCTTGACAAAATTGAGCCGCGCTGCACTTTCTTCAGAGCCTCAGAAGGCAGAATCAAGAACACATAAAGTAGAAGCTACAGAGGACAGGCTTGATTCAGCAAATGGAATTGAAGAATCCCTCAACTATGAAGTGATAGTTAGTGAAGTGAATGGATCATGGGTGGATACGGGTGGGGGGAATATTTCTGAGAAAACAAGAAGGGATTGTTTTAAAGTGGAAGGAGAAACCGACTTTGTTTCTAATACTGACACTGTTACGAGTGTCAGTTCAACATCCTCTGAGCACGACTCCAGACAAAGTGAAATTTGGACGTTAGGGTCTTCAGGAAATGTAAGAGTGAATTCTAATGGAGCGGCCACCGTTAATGATGGATATGATGCTCCAACTGGACAGGATATTGGAGGTAGCGATATGTTAGTACAGAAACAGAATGGTGATATGTCCTCAGAGATACGTCTGAGTAAAGATAATTTGAGATCACATAAAACCAGACACATTTCTCTGTTGAAACTTTTCAAAATAATTGCAAATGAATCAGTGTTGAGAAGTGGTCAGAATAATTCAATTTTTGTAAAACATAAACTCAAAGATCTAAACACAAAGCCCATAAATGTTCCTTATGAAATTTATTTTACCAATGATAGTACAAAGGATGCAGAAAATTTGTCTTTCGATTCTAATGTCTTGCAGGCGCAAATTGTAAAACCGGTTGTATATTTTGGTAACGTGCTACATCGTCCAGGAAATAACAAAACGAGTTACGTTCAAAGCGACGTTTCTGAAGACGCTAATGAGGCAAATATTACTCATTCAGAAGACACAAAATTACACCAGAACGCGAGTTTCGAATTAACAGAAGACATTATCAGAGAAATGCCTACGTTAACTTCTGAACAACTTCAAAACGATGGCAATTCTACGGACTACAGCAATATCAAATACTTGAACAACCCTTCGGAGGATGTAACATTTAATGCGAATCTCTTAATGAACTTTATTGCCTCAACGAATAATGGTCTGAGTTATACGGGGAACTACGACAAGAATTACAACACCAGCACATCCGGAAATGTTGAAATTGCGTCAACAGTTACTGAACATTTTAATTCCAGTGAAGTGAATCATGAATTTTTCCCCATTCACCCGACGACTGAAGCTACGTCACAGTATAATGTTGAAGTAAATACTTTTAATTATTACGACTTCACGGTTTCGACGCCCGAGCCTTATGATAAAGACGTGGAGAGATGGGACGCGTCTACGCATGATTTATCGGCCTTTGAGTCTCTTCCAAATTACTCAGTAAGCGACGTTACGGAGGCGTCGGTCTCGGGCGTCTCTCCAATATTTTCGCGTAACGACAGTGCGTCGGATGGTGTACCAGGATGGCCGGTAAAGTTATCTGCCGAAGTGTCGGGTGACTTAATCCTCGGAGGCCTCATGATGGTCCACGAAAGACAGGACAACATAACCTGCGGTCCCATCATGCCCCAGGGGGGCATTCAGGCCCTGGAGACGATGCTGTACACTCTGGACGTTCTCAACAAGGATCAGATGATCCCTAATGTCACCATCGGCGCTCATATCCTGGACGACTGCGATAAGGACACGTATGGACTGGAGATGGCCGTCGACTTCATCAAAGGTAGGGACATCTTCTGTCTCTGACTTATATTTATTGCGTTTTTTCTCGAATGTTTTAATTTGTTTTCATTTTTGTTCACACTGAAACGTATTAGGAAGATGAGTTTCGCGCGGTACGGGATTCGTGTAGTTCATAGAGAGAACGACGTTTCGGAGGAAAGTGAGCTTGCCGCCTGCTTCTGCTGGCTTGTTGTTTGGTTTATTTTCACCTTGAAGATGGAGGCGACATTCTCCGAAACGCCTTGCCTTGTCAGAAGTACACGAAGTTTCAACCTATAAAATCGTAATATTTTTGGTTTACATCCTGTTTTGAGCTCGATAATCGTGTAAATTGGGCCTTCAGCACAACGTAAAAGTATCTTAAAGATGAACACACGGTAGATACTACCGTATTTCTATTGTTTGTTTATTATGCGAAGGTGTGCACTACATGTTTCAATCTTTTCTAGGTCATCATCATGCGAGTTACAAGAACTACATTCTGTAATTGAGTTGTATTAATATGGATCCATATTTGACAGTCTGTTGTTATTGTTATTATTATTATTATTATTATTATAGCGAATACACTTTTTGACAATATAAACTAATAATATACGCAAAATCATAGTGATGAACGGTTGTAGTCTAAAAATAAATATTATTAAAGTCTGTTATATTAGGAATTTTATTATTTTATAGCAGTTCGACGAGTTATTTATTTTAAAAACGTATTAAAATTTTTAATAAATTTTGAAACAATTTCAAGGCACATTAGGTAAATATTTCTATTATCTGCCTCATGTTGTCAAAAACCTCACATTTATGCTGGTTTCGGGATCTCTGTAGACGTTTCTAGCGCTCCCTGGACACGGGTCGGCCAGGCGTAATACCTCTATATCTGCCAGTTCAGCACAAGCACAAAAAATTAGAAACATCCATGTCGAAAGTGGTAGTCGAACCCACGATCCTAGTATTCACACTGTGGATGACAGTACATGCTCTAGACCACGCGGCCATTACGATCGGGCTGTGATTAGAGATTAGAACATTCGGAAACTAGAAATATTTTATTCTATATTTCAGTTCCATTCTGACGAATGGTGGTCCTTACACAGGCATTCAGAATGTTTTCAGTGTTCAGGCACTGAGAGACCCTAGTCAGTTCGTGCACTACATTGCAACAAGGACATTAACAAGCAGACGTCATACAAACAGCTAACATCAGCATTAGTTTTGTTATAAAGTTACTTAATTTACATCTAAACAGTAGGAAACTAGTCGATCCCTAAAATTACTAGAGAACGTACTGGTATAGGAATTTATTTCTCCAGTTAAACAGACTCTTGTATTGTGTCAGGGTGTTAGGAATTGTATTGCGCGAAACACACTTGTAGGATAATGACTCCATGGTTGCGTCACATGTGCACCAACTGACGTCATGGCCCCTTAACTGATATTCTCCCAGCTGGTCAAGATATTCTTCGCCTTTTATGAGACTCGAGATTTTATTACCGTGTTCACAAGAGCGAACCGTTCATCTGTCTTCAGCGACCTGAATACAATGTACAATCTCACATCTTATTTATTTAAGATATAGGAGAAAGCTCTAGATCGCATCAAGTGGAGGAACTGTTTTGGAAGAGACTGTGGACCTGTCGTCTTGACAGATTACTGATGAATGATGAATGAATTTTAACATCATTCTCCCACCTATGCATATGTATCCCACTGGGTCTCGTCTCTTTAATTTTCGTGACTAAACATTTTACGGAAGTATTGTGTGTGCTACATGACCCAGTCGCCTTATCATCCTGTATTTGATCAACCTTGCCGATCACAGTGGCCGCTCGGTCCAAAGCATGAACTGTCTTCGACAGCTCGAACATAGGGATCATGGGTTCGAATCCCACTCAAGGCATGAATGCCTGTATGCGTTTATTCTGTGTTTGTCTTGTTCTGTATGTAGTTAGCGGCCCTGCGACGAGCTGATCCCCTCTCCAATGAGTCGTACCGATTGTACATAAGATTAAGAATCTGGAAAATCACCAAGCTCCAACAATAGAACATTAGAGCCATAGAGAGGTAGGTAGGTGGGTAGGTAGGTAGGTGGGTAGGTAGGTAGGTTGGTGGGTGGGTGGGTAGGTAGGTAGGTGAATTTAATCATCCTTATAGTAGTTGAAAATGTTGTACCCATATAAAATGTTTATCAACGAACAATGTTAACAGCAGTGGCTTAGGATACAGACCTCTCATTTAGCAGAGGCATGGTTTGTAGTTGCTAATATAATTCGACTTTTCAATACCGCTACCAGAATGAACACACGAACTTGTCTATACAGACAATTCGTACAGTTGTTACGAGTTAATTGCTCACTAGTCCACACGTCTGAGTAATGCAGCGTGCTCGTGGAAGCTTAAATACAAAAGCAGTATCATAAACTTCCAGCTTAATTGCATACTCTCACATTGCGGGATCGACAAATGAACTAACACCCTTACCTGTTGCGGCCTAATGGAAGTATGTGTATGTTGTATGCACCCACAGTTCAGGCACATTACGTTCAAATCAATCCTTTCCATATCGACATACATATATATATATATATATGAATTGCCGTTTTGGTTTTATATTTCCGTACTAATACTAGGTTCATGTGTTTGAAAAACCACAACTATGCTGCAGGAATCTCCAATAGATTGCTGTGCCCTACATGCGGCCTATAGCGACCAATCCCACCAACTGGTGTTCGATGTGCAGCTATTTGAAAGGTATTACCTACGGGTATACGGCCACAATCTATTTATTTTCTTGTTTAGCGCTTAACCTCAGGCCTAAAACATGTATATTTTAAAGCAATAGCGACGAGTGGCAGACAAAAGTGTGTAATCAGCCGGTTTGCTGGCTACTGTGTGACTGAATCATCATTTCAGTCATGTTACTCATACATGTATATTTTTTGCTTGGAACTACAGCCCCAGTGGGCCTAGGCCGACCTCCATGAACTTCTCCGTTCACTTCGGTTTTTCTAGATCTTACAGATTCAGTAGGACTCCTTGGGCGGGTGATCAGCTCGTCGCAAGGCCTCTACCTGTACACAAACACAGAAAAACGCACACACACACACACACACACACACAAACTAAACATCC